TGCTGGATGTTCTGACCTGTGTGTGTTCTTCCCCTAAGTTCAGCCTAGTCATTTTAAACTAACTATTGTGAATACTTGCTTAAATTTTTCTTATCTACTCATAAACAGTGAAGATTATGAAATTCTGGACCTTTCAGAAGGATCAGCCCAAATTTCCTAAGCATACAGAATCAAATTACTCAAATGATATCTATTTCATATTCTGAGTGCATACATTTGCAATTAGCTGTGCCAGGCATTTTTCTTTCGCTTAATTTCATCATCATCAAGTAGTATTTATTAAGCACAAACCTGGCTAAATTAATTTTTACAGAGTAACATTTTAAATGCATTCTCTCTGTTTAAGAGTCCTTAAACAATCTACCTGATACGTGACATTTGTTTCCCTTAGCAAAAACTTTCCTTTAAATTTGAATTTTTATCTTATTATTTCAAGGTTTCAATAGGGCACATTACACTCCTAACATCAGCATATTTAAATTAAAAATTGTCATTCAGAACTAGTACAATGCACTCCATGGAATTTTTATTCTTATGATAGTGTTAATGTCTTCTGTTAATTTTAAAACTTGTATTTTTTCTAGTAGTGCTTTTCAGTAGGAAAATAAGCAGTCTTACTAAACATAAGCAATAAATACAAAATGCATTTTGCTAATTTTTAAAAAATTTATATAATATACTTAATCAAAAGCAAAGCGAAGGAAAGTGTTTGACTTTGAAATTCAATGTTTAACAAATGAAGATGGAAACATCTAGGTCTTCGGAGTGACTGCTGAGACTTTACCTGTGCTACCTTGGAGAAAATACAAAGTGAGTTTTTATGTGGACTTGGGGGAGGGGAATATTTTCTCAAGATTTTTTTTTTTAACTGCAACAGAGACAATATTTTTTTTCATTTAATAGCAACAATATCATATTTCACTTGAAATTCCAACCACAAAAATGAAATTTGAGAAAATCATCCTCAAGGACATCATGGTTCATGTTAGTCACGGTTCTTAGCTGTAGAGAAGCTAACACATAAACTTATATTTGGTATATTTTGTCCTTAGAAGCAATTACACTATTCTTCAGGGGCAAATACCCAGTAAGAATGACAGAAACTAAAATGAAACTAGAAACACATAACAGGTGCTACTGTGTACGCGTATTAGCATCCACACTCCAAGAAGCAGCACTGTGCTGACATGGGCCATGCTAATTTATCCAGGATATCGAGTAGCTCACAGTGATGCTTCAGAGGAGTCTTCTGGGAATGCCAGATACCACATCAACCTATAGTTGCCTGACACTTGTAAAGAAGAATTTCTGGGTATTATTTTTTCTTTTCTCCTCCTCCCATCCTCCTCTTCCTACTTCTCCTTGTCCTCCTTCTCTTCCTCCTCCTCCTCTTTGTGTGTGTGTGTGTGTGTGTGTGTGTGTGTGTGTGTTTCAATTGAATGTGTGCATATATATATGTGTGTGTACTCACCCAGGTCTATAGTTGCCTGACACTTGTAAAGAAGAATTTCTGGGTATTATTTTTTCTTTTCTCCTCCTCCCATCCTCCTCTTCCTACTTCTCCTTGTCCTCCTTCTCTTCCTCCTCCTCCTCTTTGTGTGTGTGTGTGTGTGTGTGTGTGTGTGTGTGTTTCACATGAATGTATGCACATATATGCATGGGTGTTCTCACCCAGGTGGGTGATTATCAGGATATGTACCTCAATTACTTCATCTTTGGGCATCATTTTATTTTATTTTATTTTATAGAGCTTAGCTTTTTAATGTGCACATTCAATGTTAAATATTCAGAGTTAGCTAAGTATTTAAATAATTTTAAGTAAGATAGAACTATAAAATGTTTGCCCTTAGAATATCTCAACCTCATCGTTGCTTCCAAAAGAGTATCCTAGAGTAGCTGGATGCTTTTAGTTGCAAAGAGAGTTTTGCCTCTCTATTAGAAATAACTCAAATAGGAAATGAGAGGCAAGAAAGCTGTAGCCTGAGCGGTGAGGGAAGAAACAAAACGAGGCCATCAATTAGAGCCAGAGTCATTCGGAGGCTTTACATCTGGCGGATAGCCGTCTTTGTTTATATCACCGGAAGGTCTCAGGAGAAAACAGCACACTGACTCCACAGGAAGAATTTGGTCATACTTTTCAAAGTAGTTTAGTTTTCAACAATCCACCTTCCCTTAAGGGAAAAACACCTTGAGAACCAATTAGTGGTATGAAGGGCCAGGAGAAAAAGATTGGGCTCCGGTAGAAAGATTATTTTGTTGATTTCGGGTAAAACCTTGGGCCAGATGCTAAGGTAGATGTCCCCATTGCTCATCTTTCCTTAGCCCCAGGGACATGCAGTCTGTTACATCTGTATCTCTTCAACTAGGACAGGAACAAAACTCTCAAAACAATTTTTATAAAACATAATCCAGAATCATGGAACAGGTGGCAATTTTCTAAGGAATAACAGTAGATTATTGGAATAGTAGAAAAATAGAAAAATACAATTTCTCCCTCTTAATTGGATTTTTTATGAGCAAAGCTCAGACCTCTCTATTCTCTATACTGAAAAAGGTAAACAAGACAAATGGATACTAACCATTCACAACAAGGCTAAATTCCCTGATTGATGCTTCTTACTGTTGAAGATTAGCTATAAATATGCTGTCCAGTGGTTTTTAATGGTGTGATTGTCTGACTCAGCAGACCAGTGTCAGGAAGGAAATTTACATAAATGGAAAGTGAAATCTTTCTGCAAGAAATGGGACAGTTAGAAGCTGCTTAGGTAAGGAGTTGCTCACTTACACAAACAGGGATATATGTATTAAACTACCCACCAATATGTGCTGGAGCTTAAGTTATTGCCCATGAAAAAAAAAAGCAAAGATGTTTGCTTTTAATTTCCAAAAATTCATCTCAGTTTCAATTTTACTTGGAATAAACTCTGCAAATAGAGTTGTCATTAGGAATGAGAAGCGTACTATGAAGTTGGTGTCTTCGAACATGACTGAGGACCCATTCTCAAACACAGCACAAGCTTAGACAGCTTGGTAGGAAAGTTGAATGATGACACAAGACCACTCCAAGGTATAGCCCCTGTCCTCAGGGAGTGTCCTCATTCTACAACAGCTTGTCACAGGCTGTGGAGTCTAGTTTTACATTCAGCAACTCTGGGTTATCTTACCACCACAGAGTCTTACAATCGCCCTTATGCAATTACTCCTTTGATAAAATGATATATTTTAAAATGCGGATATGAAGAATAAACAGAGAATCCATATAAAATATTTATTGTAGTGCCCAGCATATGGCAAATACTAACTACAATAGATGTTAATGACCGTTGCCATTATTATTATGTTGTCGCCTATCCATGCTTGTACTTTCTGAACCATGTTGGAGGATTCTGCAGATCACTTCATAGGCCCCAGTGCTTCAGATTTCTCTGACCCCTACTTCTCTCAGTTTCACTGTGGGGAGAATGTTTCTCTTTCCCAGGACCTTGGATTCAGTTCTATGACTTGCTTTGGCCAATTGCATGTGTCATGTGACACTGTACCACTTCAGGGCCTGTCATTTTAAGACATCTCCCACTGCTGCTGACCTTTCGACTTCTGTTAGCCTGATGCCAAGGGATGGGTAAAATAAGTGAAACACTTGTAGACCAACAGTGTAACAGACATCAACCAACCTGCATCAGAGCCACTGTTACCAACAGCTGCCCTGCAGAACCCTGAGCAAAAGCTTATTGATGATATTACTGAATGCTTGTGATATTGATCATAGAATAAAATCTTACTGTTCTAAGGAATAAATTAAAGAGTTGCCTAGCCACAGCTCAATTCCCGCTTTCCAAGGAAGAAGGCATTAGTGTAGTATCTAAGTTGAAAGGACTGTAGAAAAAGAAATGTCAGAAGACAAATGCTTTGGCAAAATGCTTCAGAATGATAAGACTGGGCTATTCCTGTAAAGCCCGACTAGGTCTTCTTGGTGTTGGTCTGGGAGGGGTATACACTATCAACAGTAAGATCATTTGCAATGTCTAACATTCATTAGAGTCTCTTGATAGGCACTGTGCCAAGTACTTTCCATGTATTGTTATTTAGTCTTAACAGCACCAGCAGACAGGCACTACAATTTCTACTGACTTTCTAATGAGGAACCTGAGGCCCATTGAGGAAGAGTAATTTGCCAGTGTTTACAGAGGAAGATAGTAATGAAAGTAGGATTCAAAATCTAAAATCTTATTGCACTGTGTGAATGGATGATGATCAATGCTCCCCTTCTGTGAATACTTTACTTCTCAAAACTTGTTGTATGCATTCATTATTTAATCTCTAGAGCCCTATGAACAAGACTCTACAGACGAGAAAATAAGAGACAGCTAGTCAATATCCTTGCCCACAGTTTCACATGATCACCAGTGATAGGGCTGGATTTGAACACATGCAGTAGAGTTAAATATTATACTATATTAACAGCTTTGGTCACATAGCCCACGCCAACGTGAAAGAGTAGGTCATAATCTCCCCTATTTTTCTGGAGCTGTATAAATTTCTCTAAGTGCTCAAGAGCAAATATGCATTCTGGGCACCATGGTTATCTTCGAGTGCCTAAAATGTGATGAATGACCTTTAATTTTACTACAGTCATGCTTAGGATCCACTGAGCTTTCATTTTTGCAAGCACAAATTTCTCATTTGTTGCCTTTATGTCAACTCATTTTTAGTTTTGTCTTCCTGATTATACATGTTTTAGGCTGTACTGTGGTAGGTTACAAATTCTGTGGGATTTTAATTGAATAAGAAAAAAATATGCTAATATGATGAGTTTTTGGAGCATCTTTAGGAAGTGTAAAAGCAAGGAGCTGGTCCCAGATCTGTTCACACACATATTCCTCGCATCTAGCAGGAAAGTCTCAGTGGTGCCTACCAAGCCTTCAGAGACTCTCCTTCCAGACCCAAGCATTGCAGCCACACCCTCAAACTCTCTCCCAGGCATGCAAATATCATCTTCTCACCTTAAAAGCAGCACCTCCATGGATGATGGATTTGATAAAAATCCCCAAGTCAGTTCCAGTTTCTCGGGATTTATTCCCTTTCAAGCTAACCCCAAGGCCAGCAGAGCCAGAATCATTCAGGGGGATCTCAAAGGTGAGCTGCTCACTTGTCTCCAGGGAGAGTGCGGAGCAGTCAGGTTCTCCTTTCTGTTGGTAAGAGGAAAGAGACGAAGGCTGATTAATAGTTCACATTCTCAGATGGCCAAAAGCAGATGCAGACATGATGGCCGGACCTCCAGGAGTTATATTCCTGCCAATCACAGGCTGGTGCCCTCTCTCTGTAAGATGGTACCACCATATCCATCCCACAGCAAAGTCCTCTCAGGGGATGGAATTTGGTGATAGTCAACAAAAAGAGATCACTTGGAGAGGCTAAGTTGTTTAATCTGAAACATTCAATAGGTATTTGGAAAGTCAGTAGAATGCTTTTAGTAATTAAAGAGGCTGGCTGTTAGACTCAAGGAATGTCAGGTTTCAGAGGATACTTTAAACATAATATATTCTCAAGCTCTTCATCTTACCAATGAAGTAGAGCTTAGTATAGAACTTTGTTAAAATTTTGGAGAAAGAGCATATAATTTATAATTTAAAATACCATTCACTATAGAAGACACGCTATTGGTGAAGATTGTCAGTAGGACACAAATCACTGGAACAATGCTACACTTAGAGAAACATGATTTTTAATGACTATCATTGAATTTGATTTCACTTCATCAAAACTCATACTTTAAGGATCTATCCTTGTATAGAAGAACTCCCTGCAAAGGAAATAAGTGTTTGGACCTTAATCAAAATGATTACGCACAATGAATATTAATGTCCTTTCTGATAAGTGATGCCTACTCACAAGCAAACTATTCATCAAACAGTGTGGTGGCAAATGGCATATTTATGGGCCAGCTCTCCTGGGAAATGTGGTTAGTCATATTTGGTATGGAGGGTTTTCACATACACAGTAATGGGAATTGGCATGTGCTGTACACATGCTAATTATGTGAATGCCCCTCCTGTGCCTCCTCAAACTGGCAGAAATTTTAAAGTGCCATAGTTCTTAACTGGAAAATTTGAAAATGAGGTATTCCTGGAAACCATCAACTTATTCTGGGCTGGTAGTTACTTCCTCTCTGTAATTATGTCAGAGACTCTCATCTTAAGGTCACTTTGAGGGGACTCTTCTGTAAAATAGCCCATTTAAAAAAATCACTGCGGGTGTCTGAATGTCAGTCATGAATAACTATAAAAGCGGAAGTAGCAAGCAACCCATAATTAAAACAGAATTAAGGGGTCTGATCATAGCCAGATCCACGGACCTGACATTGTCAACGCATAACAAGGTAGAGAACCCACAACCAACTTTTACATAAATAGGTCCTTCATTTAATTTCATTGTAAATAAGTTTAGTTGGAAATATTTTGACAATAAGTTGTTCAAAGAAATGAAACTTCATTGTTTAATTTAATAAATCTATTATAGGTTTGTTCTTCTATCTAACTCATTATGTTACCTAGGAAGCAAATTTCATGATTGTATTCTAAGTTACCATCACTGGTTTTTCCACTGGTATGCCAGAGCGCAGTACTGAATGTAAACACAAGCCTTCATCTTTGTCATCCAAGACGCCCAGTTTAGAATCCATAATATTTTACAGTCATTTATATTTCCAGGTCTCTCTGGGATTGGATTAAGTCTAATAAAGTTCCACTGAATTAAAGTATAAATTAAAGGACAGTTGTTCTCACTATAAGTTGTGAATATTTTAAGAGGCAAAAATTAGAAAGTTCTCTGGCTAATATTAACAGAAAATGACAAAGACCAGCTCTGCATTAGAAATACAGTTATGTATTGCTTAGGGATAGAGACATGATCTGAGAAACACACTATGTGATTTTGTTGTATCCTTATGCACCCTAAGCCAGCTGTTTTATCATGTGGCATCTGATTGTACTTTCAAACTATTTTATTGTCAAAACTCAAGAGGGTTTTGACAACTGTATTTGCCTTAGTAAGATTGACAGCCATCATTGTTTTACCCAAATAGCTTTAATTTGTTACCTAAGTACAGAAACAAAACAGAGATCATATGGCATTATGGTTACATTTTCATTGGAAATTTAAGTTCCTGACATGGGAGAATAAAAAACCAACAAAAACAATAAACTAGCAATGACAGAGTCATCACACTCTAAGTACTTAACACATTAATACACTCGGACTTCATGATGACCCTTCACAACTACCATAGTCATTTTATAGGTGAGCAAATGGTGCACAGCACTCAGGCACTGTGCTCACAGGTCAGGAGACTTGTAAATGCTGAAGCTTTGTGGAGTGTAAGCAGTGTGACTCATGCCTCCGTCACTTATTTATTTAGTGAAGGATTCTGAACTGTTCATTACATTTCCATATTGTCTGATATGCTAAACCCATTTTTAATGAAAACACTAAAATTCATCCATTATCTATGAATAAAATCTGATGTGAACTTTACTTTAAATTTATTATTAAATGACAAATGCTGTATATAGTGTACAGTATTCTTTATAATATGTATACAGTGTTGAAGAGAAGGCTCAGTGGGAAAAGTACTTGCTGTACAAGCATGAGGATCTGAGTTTAGATCCTCAGCTCCCACATAAAAGCTGATTGTGGCTCCAGGCACATGCCTACACTATACCAGTGTATACACAAGTGCACACATACTTGCACACTACTGCATGCATGTGCGCACTCACACACACACAAACACACACATATACATAATAAAACAGGTATATAGAACTAATTAACATAAGCAGTACTTGGGTGTCAGAGAGACTGCTCAGTGGTTAAGGGCACTGGATGCTCTTTCAGAGAACTTGGATTGGGATCTCAGCACCTACATGGTAGATAACAACCATCAGTAACTCCAGTTTGAAGGGATCTAGAACATTCTTCTAAACTCTGTGAGCATTGCATGACATGGGTGCACTTACATACATGCAGGCAATACACTCATACACATATAAATAAATAAATGATGAAAGAAAGAAAGGAAAGAAAGAAAGAAAGAAAGAAAGGAAGGAAGGAAGGAAGGAAGGA